TGAAGTAGATGAGTGGACAACCACAGCGTATCATGCAGTTCTTAGAATGTGCTAAAATTAGCATGTCAACAGTGTACAGTGCTTTTTTCCCCTTAAATTTAAGCAATGTAAGGGAAGTACATGCTATTGTGTACTGTCTTTACATTTTTACAAGTATTCCAATAAAAATAATTTCTTTCCACATAAAGCTTTGAATTTGTTTGACTATAACAACATTTAAACCACATTAAGTGTGCTGTATTGATTTTTTTTTCCTAACCAAACATTTCAGTTCAAATACTTGTGGCCATTGGGATGTAAAATTAACACGGGGCTACTCTTTTAGTTTTGTTTACTAAATATAAGTCAAATAAACATGTAAAATCAGATCACGCTCTATTTAGGGCATTGGAAAATTTTTCCAATTCAAAATTTTCCATAAATCCCGCATCTCTGCCCACAAGGTCATGTAGCAGGATCATTCCTGACTAAACCATCCCAGCCAAGTGTCTATCCAACCTGCTTTTGAAAGTTTCCAAGCATGGAGAATCCACAACTTCTCTAGGCAGCCTGTTCCAATGCCTGACCACTCTCACAGTCAGGAGCTTCCTCCTAATCTCCAGCCTCAATTTCTTCTGGTACAGCTTGAGGCTGTTGCTCCTAGTCCTATCCCCTACAGCCACAGAGAAAAGTCCATCTCCATCCTCTCTAAAATCCCTTTCAGGTATCTGAAGCCTGTTATCAAATCCCCTCAGTCTTCTCTCCAAGTTAAATAATGTTGTTTCTTTCAGCCTATACTCCCAGACCTTTCATCATTTTTGTTGCCCTGCACTGGACTCTTCACAAACTGTCCACCTCTTTCTTGAAGGGTGGGGCTCAAAACTGGACACAGTACTCTAGGTGAGGCCTCACCAATGCTGAATAGAGCAGAAGAATCCCTTCCCTTGATTTGTAAGTGATACTCCTGTCAATACAGCTCAGGATGCTGTTGGCTTTTTTTGCAACACAAATCACACTTGTCTCATATTCAGCTTATGGTTCACTGTAACCCCCTGATTCTTCTCTGCAGTACTGCAACCCAGCTATTCATTCCCCAGTCTGCATTTGTGCATGTGGTTATTCCATCCTACATACAGAACTTGGCACTTCTCCTTGTTGAATCCCAACTGGCTGATTGTGGACCACTTTTCCAGGCTACCCAGGTCATTTCAAATCCTACTCCTGTCCTCTGGAGTGTCTGTAGTTTTACCCAACTTGGTGTCATTTTCAAGTGTGCTAATTATACACTCAATCCCATCATCTGTATCATTAATGAAGCTGTTGAACAATACCGGACCCAGGACAGACCCCTGGAGAACCCACTTGATACTTCCTTCCAACTAGACACTGAGCCACTGAGGACTATTCACTGAGTACAATGATGCAACCAGTTATGTATCCATACCTTAAAGTACTTGCATCTATATTTCCTCTGCTAATTAATGAGGGAAGTGTCAAATCCTTGCTAATGTCAAGGTATAACGCATCCATTGCTCTCCCTCCATTTACAGAGCCTGTCACCTTATCATGGAGGGAAATCAGATTGGTCAGGCACAACTGGCCCTTCATGAATCTGTGCTGGCTGTGCCTGAGTGATCACCTTGTTCTCCTCTAGGTCCTAAAGGAGTGATTCCTTCCTTTAGGACCTGCTCCGCGATCTTTTCAGGTATAGAGTTCAGGCTGAATGGTCTGTAGTTCCCTGGATCTTCCTTCTTTCCCTTCTTAAAGATGGGCAGTGTATTTGTCCTTTTTCAGTCATCCAGGATCTCACCCAACCTCAAGTTCTCAAAAAGGATAGCCAATGGCTCAGAAATCACCTCAGCCAACTCCTTCAGTATCCTCAGGTGCGTCCTTGTCTGCTGACTTGACAGCATATAGCTTCTAAGTACTCCCTAACCAGGTCTACCATTACTTTATGCCATTTGTCTTCTTCCTTATCTCTGCTGTCAACTGCACTCATCGGCTGATAGCTGCCTCCATTTATGAAAAATGAAATAAAAAAGGCATTAAATACCTCAAACCTTCTCTGCGCCATCTGTGACTAAAGTGCCTTCCACATTGTGCAAGGGACCTATGGAATCCATGATCTTCATCTTACTTTTGACATATCTATAAAATCCCTTTTTACTGCCTTTCATGTCCCTTGCCAGCTGCATCTCAGATTGTGCCTTGGCCTTCCTAATTGTCTCCATGCCTGCCCATGCAATACTTGCACATTCTTCTCTAGTACTGTGACCAAGTTTCCACTTTTTATAGGATTTCCTTTTTGAGTTTCAGCTCCTTGAAGGGACTGCTATCTAGCCAGGCTGGTCTCCTGTTGCACTTCACATTCCTTCACATCATCAGGATAACTTGATTCTGCGCTCTTAAATGGTGTTTAAGGATACCAGTTAAGAAACCTCACTCTGTAGTGGGTGCAATCCTCTGACTATTGTCTGGGAGGGCTATAAAAGGTGGATTGGCCTGACCTAGGTGAACAGACAACAAACCTTCCCCACTCAGCGTTAAAAAAGGCTACAAATGCTTTCTCTGAAGCACTGCCTAAAAAATTAAGACTTCCCTGATCAAGGTAGAAGGCTGCCACCGCTTCCAGCTCCAAAGTGAAAGTAGACCTAACAGGAGTGCAAAACCTTCTTTATTTAAGCTACAGCTGGGAATCTGGCAAAGGCACAGAATCTTCTACAATCACCACCCAGTCTATGCTGCTGCTTCCACCCCCCCGCCCCAGCTATGCCTTTTTAAAGCATTAATTTCCCTGTGAATCATTGTCATTTAATTAAATTGGACCCTTTTCATTACAAAACTGCCATTTTGATTAATTCACTCAACCATTTTATTTAGCCATTGCTGCCATCTGATTTAACTCTTCCTACCACACACAGTGCCTATTCCATTCCCACATCCTCATCACCTGCCTATTCATGTCCTGCATCCTCACCACCAAAACTGAGAAGGATCTGGTAACTCAAATATCTGAAGGATGGTTATAAAGAGGATGAGGATAAACTCTTCTTTTTTGGCCACACAGGAGGGGACAAGAGCAGGCCTTAAACTGCAGCAAGGAAAATTTAGATGGGCACAGTGAAACTTTTTCACTGTGGAGGGAGTTAAACATTAGAACAGACTACCCAGAGAGGTTGTGGAATCTCCATTCTTGGAAGCTTTTAAGAGCAGGCTGGACAAGAACATAACCAGGACAGTATGGTCAGGGTTGATCCTACCTGGAGAAGAGCTAGATTCGGTGACTTCATGAGGTCCTTTCCAACACTGCTTTTCTTTGATTTTGTCACTGTAGCTCCTTAGATCTATTAATTCATCGACTCTATTCACAATACAGTATAATGTTCTGCATCTGTGCTCATCTAGACTCTCAAATCACTTGTCAGGAATCGACTGAAATGCTGCTCTTACTTATTAACATCAAACAACTAGAACAAAAATAGTGAAAAAACAAGTTGCATACAGAGCAAACAAAGCAACTGCAGGGCTTTAATTACTGAGCCCTCATTCCCACAACCTTACTTTTCCACAAAGTGAACAGACTGTAACTTAATTCAGGGAGAAAGACTATTCTAATCCAAGAAATGCTGTGTTGTCTTATGGTATTACAAACATCACAAAATATAGCCTGAAAGCTGAAAAAGTAAAATAACTCAGAAGTGAGTGGATATACTAGCCCATCCTGGATCAAGTGAATTGAACCTACTCAGACTGTGGATCTCTCTTGTAAACTGAGATATCACCTGCTTCTGATACAGCAGGAAAAGGGTGAGTTGGCCAGAAAGTTCTTCCAGGCCAGAAAGTTCTTCCAGGCTGGGACAGTGAACAACAGCAGCAAGTGATAGGGAAGAGCAGATCAGATCAAACTGGGAACAGCTGGCTACCAAAGGCAAAGAAAACTGAGACACCTCTCTCTCTCATCACCTTTTATATCCCTCTGAGATAGGCTGATATCTTTGGTCTCAAAAGACACCCAAGCTTTGCCTGCTGTATCATTTTAGGATACATCCAGAAAATAAAAGCTGTGACTAAGACTGAGCAGCTTCAATGCAGTATTTCTAGGACTGGCACATGAAAGTGGGACCAGGTGAGCCACCCTGCCAGGTAACACCAAGGACCTGGAACAGGTGTACCCAGAAGAACTCTCTAGTGCCCTCTCAGGACATCAGTTGAGCTCACTTCTCTCTAAATAAACCCCAAATTCTCTTTTTAAAAGCATACAAAAAGTAACAAAAAAGGAGCATAACCATATCAAATGGTTTGGTAAAATAAAAGTGTTCCAACAGAAAGTGAATCGAGACTGTACTACCAGAATCGAGGAAAAAGGACCTAGCAAAGCATGTCTAAAACATACTAAAGCAATTTATGCCATAACTCCAGATTTGGTGGAAAGACGAAAACAATCAAATGAAGAAATTAAATGAAAAAAATGAACTCCAAGAAAATTAATGAAATTTCCCAAACAGTGAAACAAATACCTAAAAATTATAAGTCAAATAACTAATTTATAAAATAAGGTCAACTTACTGGGTTGTCGGTGGATTCGTCAGCCAACTGTAAACCAAAATAATCTCTCTCCGTCAAATCGAGATGCTTGAAGACTATATCCAACAGAACTTGTCCCTGATCATGTTTCTGGGGGAACAAAAAGTCACACTGCTTACGATAAAAAAATTACAGAGACAGGATGCTTCACACATGTACAACACCTGCAAGTTGTTTCAGGTGTGCTAACACCATTTACCTCCCAGAGCCCATAATATTTCTCCCAACACTATAAAATTTTAAATTAAGAGTAGGGGAAAAAAAAAGTTTAGTGAAATTTTTAATTAGAGGCAAATGCTTACATTTTTCCAGGACCATACTTTTTCAATAAGAACATAAAAAGCATCTATTCAGTCTTAAAAGCATCAGTCTCCTTCGCCAAACTCAAAAAATACAAAAAACCAGTATAGTCAAACAGAATGATTCATGACAACAAGCCCTGACAAACAGATTTAACTGAATTTAAGTAAGCAACCTTCCAAGGTAAATCTTGAACCATTAAAGCCTTAGAGTTACCCAAGATTAAGAAGGATAAAAGACTACATAAAATTCTATGAAAAATACCTTATTTACCAGAATCCAAGACAACCCCCTAATAATTAGATCCTATATATGGAAAATTTATAATTTGTTACAAGGTTCCATGTATAGAAGTTAATTATTGGAGGATCATCTTAAATTCATCCCTACCGCCATTGTAGCAGGGAAACCAGTGGGAGTCAGGCAGAGGGGTAGGAAGTCAGATTGATCCCAGCATCCTTTCCTGCCCAAGGCAAAGAGTCAGGCGACATGATCTGCTTGGGTCCCTTCCGACCCTACTAACTATGAAACTGTAATAAAAGATGGCTGCTATTCTGTTCCCAAATGGCCTGTGTTACTAGTGTATTATAATAATTTATTATAATACTTGAGAAATAAATTTGTTTTCTTTTAAACAATTAAAGAAAAACATGCAAAGAAAATGGTTAGAAAATATTTTCAAAATTTTTCACTTTCCTATAGACAGATGGAAAGAAATATGAAAAGAGGAACATATCCATGACTCTGCTCAATCCAAACAAGATTATTTTATCAATATTTAACTTTTACCACTAATGGCAACAAATCTATAGAGATTTACCATGAAGATATGAAGTTAAATAAATTAATTGCAGAATCACTCTCCCTTTAGCAGTTATTTATGATATTAAGAATAAAAATAGTTTTCAAGACCTGAATATGCTTTAAAATTAGGTACTTAGGTTTTTATTTAAAAAGAAGCTAAATGTCTTTAAAAAAAGTGTTTGCCCTGCAGAGCCAAACCCCAAATCACAAAGCATTCAGAAAACAGTAAAGAAAATAAAGCTGTGATGACAAGAGCCGACAAATATAAGTGCCATAAAAATAATACAAGTTATTAAAACCAGCATTTCATTTATGTTAAAAGTCTGAATGACTGGTAAATGTCTCGTGTACCGTAGTTTTTCTAAAAAGTATTTTTTTAAATCACCACTCAAAGATTTCTCTCTCTGACTTTTTAAAAATGCATTAACTTTGAATAAAACACTTCTAAGAATCCTAATAATATAAGATTATCAGCTGAAAAAAATGAGCAAGGAAGTCAAATCCACCCAACATGACCTATGTCTAAAAGTTGTGCTGACTGGTGAGGCACAACTGTGACTGTAAATTAAGGTTAGAATCACATGAGACCTATTATTAGCTCCCTGGTTAGTAAAATAAAAGCCAGCCCTCATAATAGCCAAATTTACTTGGAAAACTTTTTTTGCGTTTCAAATTATGAGGAAAACTGTTAATTCAGTTAAGCATTAAGAAATGAATGGAAACAAGTGGGAAAGGTCAAATTAATTAAAAAAGAACCAAACAATTCTCAAAGCAAAGGATTACAAAATTACAAGTGTACAAACAGAAACCTGATATTAGCATAACAGAAATGACCGTTCTGACCCACTCCTGGTTTCACACACCACTGCTGTTTGATAGGACAGGAAGAAAGAATAAAGCCGTAGGGCACGTCCAGACAAGCCCACATGTGCCTCTTGCAGTGTCTCCAACCTCCTTGAGACACTGCAAGAGGCACGTGCAGGAACAAAAACCAGATTTGCAGTGGGGGAGCAAAATTAGACCCCCAGGGGTCAAACAAAACCTCAGGGGGGAAAAAAATGGTTAAGGCACGGTCCCAGACTGCACCCTGAGGCAACCGGAGGCTCAGTCCTCCAGAGATGCTCTGGCAGGGTGCCAGAGCATCTCTGTGATTGGTCCTTTCCCCAGTCCTGAAGCATGCTGCCTACCTGTGCCAGGTAGGCAGTGGTGCAAGCTGAAGGGACCTGGACCCAGCTTCTGCCAGGTAAGTAGGGAGTTGGAGGGCTGGAGGAAGGGACCTTCCCCAAGTCCCCATTCATTCCCCCCACTCCTGTTCATTCTCCCCAGCTCCCAACTCACTCTACCCACTCCCCATTCATTTCCCCCCACCCTTCATTAGTTCCCCCTGCCCCCCGTTTGTTCCCCTAGCTCCCCACTGGCTCTCCCAGCCCCCACACACTCACCAGCAGTAGCAGAGAACCAGCAGGAGGCTGAAGAAAGCAGGGGAATAGGTCTCCAGCTCATTTCCAGGGGCTTGTCTCCAGCCCCCTGCTCCTTCCCCTGTTGTCTCCAGCCTCCTGAGGCTGGAGACAGCAGGGAATGGAGCAGGGGGCTGGTGACAGCAGGGGAATGTCCCCAGGGGCCGTCTTCAATCTCCTGCTCCTCACAAGGATGGAGACAGCAGGGGAAGGAGCAAGGGGCTGGAAACAAGCCCCTGGAGATAAGCTGGTGACTTCCCCCACTCTCTCCAGTCTCCTGCTCCTTCTCTGCTGCTGCCAGTTGAGTGAGGGGGCGGGTTGGGAGAGCAAGCCGGGAGCTGGGGAAATGAATGGAGGGCAGGGGGAATAAACAGGGGGCAAGGCGAATGAGCCTCCTGCTTGTTTGCCTATTCTCTCCAGCCTCCTGCTTGCTCTCCTACTCATCTCCAGCCTCTGGAGACTGGAAAAGAACAGGGAAATGAGCAGGTGGCTAGAGACCAGCAGGGAAGTGGGGGTGGCAAGGGGGGAGCTGTACCCCCTGGGGGGGAAACCTGCAGGCAGAGTAGTCCATGTGGTGGGGGGGAGGGGGCTCTGCCATGTGGGG